ATGTGTTCCCCGAATCGGTTTGGAAAGCCTTCGGGGAACACGTGGGCATCTTGAAGGTCATCTTGGCCGTCTTGGAGGCCTCTTGGGCGATCTTTCGGCGATCTTTGGGGGCTCTTGGGCCGTCTCGGGCCGTCGGAAGGCCGAAAAGAAGGAAATGTCAAAATCCGTCAAAAACCGGAAGACATCTATATTTTTCGCCTCTTCTGGCCTCCCTGGAGACCCTCTTGGGGGCCTCTTGGACCCTTGTGGGCCAGCTTCGAGCCAACTTCGGCCATCTTGGTGGGTTCCTGGCACGTCTGACGCCGTCGGAAGCCGTCTTGGGGGCCTTTCTGGGCCAACGGGGGACCCTCTTGGGGCGCTTCGGGGCCGTCTTGGAGGCCATCTTGGGCTTCTTGGAGGCCATCTTGGGCGTGTTGGAGGCCTCTTGGGCCGTCTTGGGGCACTGTTGGGGCCATCTTGGAGGCCACTTGGGCCGTCGTGGAGCCCTCTTGGGGGCCTCTTGGGCGATCTTGGGGGCCTCGTGGGCCGTCTTGGGCCGTCGGCATGCCGAGAAGAAGCAAATGCCAAAATCCTTCAAAAACCTAAGGACAATCAATGAATTTGGCCTCTTCGGGCCCTCCTGGAGAACCTCTCGATGGGCTCTGGGGCTGTCCTTGAGGCCTCTTGGGCCGCCTTGGGCCATCTTGAGGCTATCTTAGGCCGTCTTGGGTACATCTTGGGCCGTCTTGGAGGCATCTTAAAGCCATCTTAGCCGTCTTGGAGGCCATCCTGGCCGTCTTGGAGGCATCTTGGAGGTCATCTTGGAGCCGTCTTGGGCAGGAAATTGGGGAATTGGGCGCCTTCCGGGTGGCCGGCGGGACGGGCCGAAGCCCCAGGGGGAGTTCTTTTGGAAAAAGAGCCAAAACCAAAACCGAGAGGATTCAGCACGCCAGGCACCCCTGTGATGAATCATCAGGGGGCGGCGGATCGAAGACGCCTACGGCGAATCACCGCCGCCCCCTGCCTTTTTGGAAGCGCCTATGTGGCCGAACGTTGAGGCCAGACCTGCCTCGCTATCGGACCACGTGTTCCCCGAATCGGTTTGGAAAGCCTTCGGGGAACACGTGGGCATCTTGAAGGTCATCTTGGCCGTCTTGGAGGCCTCTTGGGCAAGCTTTGGGCGATCTTTGGGGCTTTTTGGGCCGTCTCGGGCCAGCTTCGAGCCAACTTCGGCCATCTTGGTGGGTTCCTGGCACGTCTGAAGCCGTCGGAAGCCGTTTGGGGGGCCTCTATGGGCCGACTTGGGGCCCGCTTGGAATGCTCCAGGGCCGTCTTGGAGGCCATCTTGGGCGTCTGGGAGGCCATCTTGGGCGTGTTGGAGGCCTCTTGGGCCCTCTTGGGGCCCTCTAGGGGCCATCTTGGAGGCCACTTGGGCCATCATGGGGCTCTCTTGGGGGCCTCTTGGGCGATCTTGGGGGCTTCTTGGGCCGTCTTGAGCCGTCGGAGAGCCGAAAAGGCGCAAATGCCAAAATCCTTCAAAAACCAAGGGAAAATCAATGATTTTGGCCTCTTCGGACTCTCCTGGAGGACCTCTTGGAGGCCTCTTGGGCCGTCTGGGAGGCCTCTGGGGGGCCTCTTGGGCCGTCTTGGGCCGTCTTGGACTCTCTTGGGCCGTTTTGGAGGCCGTCTTGGACCATCTCGGGCGGACTTGGAGGCCATCTTGGGCCATCTTCGCGATTTTTTGAGGATGTCCCGAGCGAAACGGCCGTTTTTGGGCATTGACAGACGCATTTTGGGAAATGCGCGGGTGGCCGGCGGGACGGGCCGAAGCCCACTGGGGAGTTCTTTTAGAAAAAGAACCAAAACCAAAACCTGAATCATCCAGCACGCCGTGCACCCCTGCAAGCAGGGGGCGGCGGATCGAAGACGCCTACGGCGAATCACCGCCGCCCCCTGCCTTTTTGGAAGCGCCTATGTGGCCGAACGTTGAGGCCAGACCTGCCAAGCTATCGGACCACGTGTTCCCCGAATCGGTTTGGAAAGCCTTCGGGGAACACGTGGGCATCTTGAAGGTCATCTTGGCCGTCTTGGAGGCCTCTTGGGCAAGCTTTGGGCGATCTTTGGGGCTTTTTGGGCCGTCTCGGGCCAGCTTCGAGCCAACTTCGGCCATCTTGGTGGGTTCCTGGCACGTCTGAAGCCGTCGGAAGCCGTTTGGGGGGCCTCTATGGGCCGACTTGGGGCCCGCTTGGAATGCTCCAGGGCCGTCTTGGAGGCCATCTTGGGCGTCTTGGAGGCCATCTTGGGCGTGTTGGAGGCCTCTTGGGCCCTCTTGGGGCCCTCTAGGGGCCATCTTGGAGGCCACTTGGGCCATCATGGGGCTCTCTTGGGGGCCTCTTGGGCGATCTTGGGGGCTTCTTGGGCCGTCTTGAGCCGTCGGAGAGCCGAAAAGGCGCAAATGCCAAAATCCTTCAAAAACCAAGGGAAAATCAATGATTTTGGCCTCTTCGGACTCTCCTGGAGGACCTCTTGGAGGCCTCTTGGGCCGTCTGGGAGGCCTCTGGGGAGCCTCTTGGGCCATCTTGGGCCATCTTGAGGCTATCTTAGGCTGTCTTGGGTACATCTTGGGCCGTCTTGGAGGCATCTAAAGGCCATCTTAGCCGTCTTGGAGACCATCTTGGCCATCTTGGAGGCATCTTGGAGGCCAGTTCGAGCCATCTTGGAGGATTTTTTCTGGTCGTTGAGCACGTTTGGGCCTTCGGGTGGCCGGCGGGTTCTGCCGGAGCCCACTGGGGAGTTCTTTTGGAAAAAGAACCAAAACCAAAACCTGAAACATCCAGCACGCCGTACACCCCTGCAAGCAGGGGGCGGCGGATCTAGTGGCCTTCGGCCCATCCCGCCACCGTGCCTGTGTTGCAGGTCAGAGGCCTCTTGGTCCGTGTTTGGGCCTTGTTGAGCCCGTGCAAGTCAAGCGGGAAGATGCCCCCGGACGTTTTTCCTGGGTAGCTCCCTGGCTTTCGAGAAGAAGCCGGCAGGCTGGGCTAGGCCAGCTGTGCTGCCACGACTACCAGGCAGGCAGCGTCGCGGCAGGTTGCTGGAGTTCGCAGCGAGTCCCGCAAGTACTTTCGTAGACAGACAAGCATTGCGTCTAGGTGGACGCGTTGGCAGGAAAGGAGGTGTGACAAAGCGCCACTCGAAGCGCTCGAAGCACAGAGGCGTGACCGAACGCCACACGAAGCATGGAGGTGTGACCAAACGCCATACCTGAGAATGACGGCACAATCAGGGAGGACGAGGTGTGGTGACGTTTACCCAGCCAGCCACTTCGGAGCTCCGGGTTGCTGCTGTCGGGCTTCGGAGTGGTACGAGCTCGCGTCCTTGCGTCTCGGTGGGGTGATCATAGCCCCCATGAGGGGAAACGGATTGGGTGGTCAGGCGAGCTTTATAGGAAAAACAAGCTAAGGATGACGGCGGTTGATGAAGACGACTACGAAAGTATTTTCGTACAGTAGGGTCCCTTCCGCAAGAAACTTTCCACAAGAAACCCAACCCTGAGACCACAGGACGTCCAGTCATTTGTGGTGTGGGAGCGTCACGCCTGCCATCGCGAAGCCGTCGACACACAAGAAACCGAGGGCACCCTGGAGGCAAGCAGGGTGTTTCTTGGCATGGGCCTTCAGTGTACTCGTTTCCAATACGTGGGCCGCGCTCCTGCGCAGCGCTTCCTGCGCTCGTGCGCAGCGCAGCTCCTGGGCAGCGCTTCTCAGTCTCGTGGGCAGCGCTCCCTGGCAGCTCCTGGGGGAGCACTTTTCATCGGGGGGATCGAAAAGGGTACGGAAACAGCAGGTACAAAGCCCAACATCAGTTATTGTTCATTTGGAACAGGATTCGCTGTCGGCGTCGCGGCGGTTGTTGTTCATTGAAGACAGATTGCCGCCTGCCCAGCAGAGGCCGCTGTCGGTTTTGTACAACATTTGTTGTTGGGAATTGTACCCATGTTTTCAATACCATTTCGGGCGTTCAAGCCGTAGGCCCGCGTGCATACCTTGAGTTCGAGATTTTTGGACGTGTTCGTCAATTCTCGGCGGTTTTCCAGCCTGTAGTTGCTTTCCAGCAGCTGGGCCTCGCCGAGAGCGCTCTGGAGGTGCCCGAATCTTCGAACAAACTTGCCGTATCGATCGGATCGATCCGAATCGATATCGTTTTCGGTAGGCTCGAGCCGACTCGACTCGGATATCTAGAGGATCCGATACGCTCCGATGTTTGCACGGCGCTGCCGCGCATCATGATGCATGCCGATCCGACGCGCGATCCGATCCGATTCGAAGCCGGCTGATCCTGGACCTTCTGCGGACCGACCAGATCAGTATACAGCAGTTTGTCGCTGTTCTCGGTCTCTGGCGGTCCTACGCCGAGTTTCTTGGATCTGCGCTGGACCCCCGTGGCAGCGCCTCAGGGGGCCCCAGCGCCGACATTCGGGGACACGTGAGACTCGAGTACGCCAGAACTCCTGTTTGCCGACGCCTTTTGACGAGCGCGTCTAGGAATTAGGTGGTCCAGTTTTCGTGGGATGTCTGCAGCGGGAGTTCGCGCCAAGGCCAGCCCGAGTCCCCCGAACCCGAGTCTCACGTCTCCCCGAGATCCGAAAGGGGAGCAGGAATCCAGGCTTGCCTCCTCTCGCTCCCCCCCCCTGGGCTCGTCGTCCAATCCTAGGGGAACAACAAGTGACATAAACAGAACAACTCGGAGGTCCGCGCGGATTTCTCGGATCGGCGCTGGGCCCCCCTCCCTGGCGCGCGGAGAGCGCCAGGGGCGGCGCCAGAGGCGCCGCCGGGGGGCCCCAGCGCCGATCCGAGAAATCCGCGCGGACCTCCGAGTTGTTCTGTTCATGTCACTTGTTGTTCCCCTAAATCCAGCTCGTGCCTGCCTCTTGTAGGCTCGAGGGTCGAGGCCCTCGAGAGCCGAGGCTCGTGGCCGCCCCGCTGCTCTGTTCCACTCCGCTCTGCGGCGCGGGCGCGCGCGAGGCGTTCGCCGCCGAGCTCGCCAGGCGGTACCAGGCCCGCACGGGGCGCAGAGCGGACACCGTGGTCTTCGTGCCGGGGACCGCGCGGGGCCGGGGTGGCGAGGACGACGCTGGTGGTGGCGATGGTGGTGGTGGTGGTGCCGATGATGCTTGCGGTGACGACGACGATGACGACGGCGACGATGATGAGGAGGAGGACGAGGAGGATGAGGATAATGATGCTGATGATGATGCAGATGCTGAGGATGCTGATGATGAGGATAGCGATGCAACATATGAAGATGACTACGACGATGGAGATGGAGAAGACGACTATGATGATGAATGCGATGATGATCATGCATGTTGATGATGATGCTGATGATGGTGATGATGATGTGCATACTGATGAGGGTTATGATGATGACGATGCTAACTAATTTTGATGCTGATGCTGATGATGATGACGATGGTGACGATGGTGACGATGACGATGTGATGATGAAGATGACACAGACGATGATGATGCTGCTGCTGATGAGGATCGTGATGATGCTGATGATGATGCAGGTGATGATGACGGTGCTGCTGCTGATGATGCTGAGGATCATGTGACTGATGAGGCCATTCATGACGAAATTGATGATGATAATGACGATGTTGTTGATGATGAGGATGCTGATGATGCTGATGCTGATGCTGATGCTGATGCTGGTGATGATGATGATGATGATGATGATGATGATGATGATGATGATGCTGATGCTGGTGATGATGATGATGATGATGATGATGATGATGATGTTGATGACGATTATGACGATTATAGCGATGGCGATTGCTGTGATGCTGATGCTGATGATGATGATGCTGATGATGATGATGGCGATGATCGACGATGGTATCGACGATGATTACAATGGTTGCGTTGATGATATCGTTGTTATGGTTATTGCTGCGGCAACGATGATGACGATAATGATGCGGGTGTTGTAGACGTTTTCAGTATGATGACGATGATGTTGATGCTGATGATGATAACGATTATGATGATGACGATGCTGCTGCTGCAGATGATGATTTCGACGATGATGACGATGCTGATGATGATGATGATGCTGACGATGGTAATAGTGTTGATGATGATGCTGCTAATGCTGATGCTGGCGGCGGTGAACGTATCATGATAGTTACTGCCGGTAGTGACTTGTCACTGGTGATACCGGTCGAAATGATGTTAGGTACTGGTGATACCCATTGTAGCTACTAATGCTGGTGCTGATGATGACGTTATGTTATGTTATGTGATGTGATGTGATGTGATGTTCTGTTATGTCATGTTATTTTGTGTTATGCTCTTGATTGTTATGGTGATGCTGTCGACGGTGACGGCGGTGACGACGCCGAAATTGATGGTGACGACGTAGGTTATCATATTTTGACGCCATCGAGCGTGACAATGATGACAATGCCGATGCCCATGATGGTGATGGCGATGATTCTGATGTCGACTGCGATTGTGATTGTGATGGACGATGGTGATGATGATGACGATGATGATGACGATGCTGATGGTGATGATGATGGTGATGATAATGATGGTTGTGATGATGATGATGATGATGACGCATGCTGATGATAATGGTGGTGATGCTGATGACGATGATGATGACGATGATGATGATGACGATGATGATGACGCTGATTCTGATTAGGATGATGATGTTGTCGATGGTGGTGCTGATGTTGATGATGATTCTGATGATGTTGATAATGTTGACGATGGTGATGCTGACGATGACGACGACGATGCTGATGATGCTTGCGATTATGAGGATAACAACGAGGACTATAATGATGCTGATAAGGATGATGCGGATGACGATGAGGATGAGGATGACAACGACGCTGCTGCTGATGATGATGATGAGTATGCTGATTATGATGGAGACGATGATGATAATGATGCTGATGGTGATGCAAGTCCTGCTGCTGATGATGACGACGCTGTTGATGATGACGAACGGGGATGATGCCGAGGATGGTGATGTCGATGACGACGATGACGATGATGATTCTGACGACGACGATGATGATCATGGATGATGCTGATGCTGATGCTGATGATGATGGTGGTGATAATTATGACTATGACGATGTTGATGATGACAACGGTGGTGTGATGACGATGTGGATTCTGATGAGGATGATGATAATGATGGGAACTAGTCATGATGATGACGACGACGAGGACGGTGATGATGCCGATGACGATGATGGCGATGGTGGTGATGATGCTGGTGACGATGATGATGGCGATGAAGATGGCGGCGACGACGACGACGAGGACGTTGACTGTGATGGTGATGGTCATTTGGATGATGCTGCTGCCTGTGACGATGTCGAAGTAAGTATGATGATGGCGATGACATGGTGACTCTCATGGTAATTGCGATGATGATTATGATGGTTATGGGCGTAGCCTTTGGATTCCTCCAGTTGCTTGTGATTCCTCCAGCCCTGTACACTCCAGATTGTGTGGATACCAAGACGTCAAGTGATCATGGCGTGATTGCTGCCATCTGAAGTCAGGGGGAACCTTTTTGTGTATTTTTTTCTCAACCCTCCTGCGTTGGGTACTCGTTTTGAATAGAGCACTGCGGTCTCCGTTCTCCTCCTCTCTTTCTTCCTCTCCTCTCTTGCTTGCCTTCTCCTCCTCTCTTCGCTCCTCCTCTTCTCTTCTCTTGCCTTTCACGTCATCCCTGGCGGGCTGCGATCTGCGGAACTGTCACCACTTTCGAGGGCTGCTGGTGGGTCCAGCGGAGTGAGGCACCACGGGGACTCAGATTAGACCTCGCCATCCCTGGGGGGGGCTGCGATCTGTGAAACTGTCGCCACTTTCGAGGGCTGCTGGTGGGTCCAGCGGAGTGAGGCACCACGGGGACTCAGATTAGACCTCGCCATCTCTGGGTGGTGCGATCTGTGAAACTGTCGCCACTTTCGGGCTGCTGGTGGGTCCAGCGGAGTGAGGCACCACGGGGACTCAGATTAGACCTCGCCATCTCTGGGGGTGGCTGCGATCTGTGAAACTGTCGCCACTTTCGAGGGCTGCTGGTGGGTCCAGCGGAGTGAGGCACCACGGGGACTCAGATTAGACCTCGCCATCTCTGGGGGGGGGCTGCGATCTGTGAAACTGTCGCCACTTTCGAGGGCTGCTGGTGGGTCCAGCGGAGTGAGGCACCACGGGGACTCAGATCAGACCTCGCCATCCCTGTGTGAAACTGTCGCCACTTTCGAGGCTGCTGGTGGGTCCAGCGGAGTGAGGCACCACGGGGACTCAGATTAGACCTCGCCACCCCTGGGCGGCTGCGATCTGTGAAACTGTCGCCACTTTCGAGGGCTGCTGGTGGGTGGCCAGCGGAGTGAGGCACCACGGGGACTCAGATTCTGACCACGAGCACTGCTCGCGTGCCCTTGCTCTGCGGTTCGTGCCACGTGGCGCTGCGACTCGAGCTGGCGGTCGTCCTTCGGACCCGCAGAAACATCAGCTGAGCTCGATGAGCTAGGGGAACTACAGGAAAGAAGTGCAGGAAACGGAGGCCGGTCATGCACTCGCCGATACCTCGTTGCTCTGTCATCGTCTTTGCTGTTGCATGCTCCTTATCTGGCCTGCCGGCGCCGCGGCTCGAGCTGGCGGTCGCCCTTCGGGCCCGCGGGAACATCTTCTGAGACAAGTGGACGCCGCCGCCTTACTTGCAGGCAGCGCAATGCATTCGCGGACAGCAGCATGGCAGACCGCAGTGAGATCCTCAGTCGCGTGGTGTTGCCAAGCCTGGTGGAGACGCGCGTGATCGACCTGAAGTCCCAATCGCGCGTGCACTGTACCTGCGCGGCGTTCAGGCACGCGCGTGATGCTGCTCGCTCCGCGTTCAACCAGCACGTCGCCAGTGCAACTTTGGACGAAGGACAACCGATTGATGATACGCGACCCCGGCCTTGAGTTTCTTTCCCGCGGGCCGCCCGCAGACCTGGCGGCGCGCCTGCGAGCGTTCAGCTCCCGCGCTGAAATGTGCGGGAAGGAGGCGGAAAAGCTAGCGGGCGAGCTACGCCTCGCTCGTTCCTAGCACTCTAAACAAGTTTTATCATGTGGAACTCTGCGACGACATGGCGCAGGCAACGCTGCGGGTTTAGCTCGCACTTGAAAAACGCGGCAGTCTTCTGTCTCCTCCCGCCACTTTCGTCGTCGTCCTATTCCCCGCCTCACCTTCTCCATGCAAGCTGCTGCTTCCGCGATGGCCTTTCGCCCCCCCCGCCCTCGATTCCATCCCTCTCGTTCCCCTCGTTCCCGTGCCCGTTCTTCTGCGATCCTGGGGCCTCAAGCCTCGTTCTTTCGATCGTCGTCCTGTGAATCGTGCAACGCATGCGCATCCCATGTAGCTTGCGCAGCAACTCGCCGCGTCTACACTGTCGTTGTTCCTGCTAATGTTGGCATACTCCTCCTGCCATTTGATGCACGTGGGTTGGGTACGTCGCAAGGTAATTTGATGATGCTTTGTAATCTTGTCGATGCAGCCGTATGGGCTTCGTCGACGAGGTCATGCGACTCCACAGCCTCGCCGTCGGATCATTGGAACAGCACAGCGACGGGGGTGGAAGGAACGGCGCGTTCAGCGTGAAGGCGGACTGAGTGGGCGCGCGCCGTGTATAAGTCTTTCACCGGGCAGCTGAGGGGCAAGGAGCGAAGGGTGGGGGCGGAGGGGCGGAACAGGATCGGAGGGGAGGGAGTGGAGGAGCGGAGAGGTATTGTGTGAGAAGAAAAGCGCAGGGGAGGGAAAGAATGAGGAGGATGCTGACTAAGAC